TGTGAGACTGATTTGAAATTGGTGCACAGAGAAATAGGCACGTGGAGAACCAATCACGATCAAGAATTTTGTTATACTGCACACAAAAGATTATTACGGTAACAACTCATGATAAAAGAAAAAATATAATTACCTTTTGTGACTTCAAACAGAACTTTGTCGACTTCCTCTTGGGCAGCCTCCTCCAAATCATCATCCTCCATTCCTTCAAATGTGTCTTCTAACATTTCTTCTATTATGCCTGCCTGCAAAGTGTTGATTTATAATTAGTTGGTAAGAAGTTGCTCTTTATCATGCTCTTAGCACCTACTTACATGTAGTCCTAGCATTTTGGATATTTTGAGTTTACAAGATTATTATATCAATTTTGATAACATTTTTGTGTTATACTGGGTCAAACCACAAGATGACCAGGTCCAGATACTCCCATTTGGACACAGTGGTAAAATTTGTATGGAACTTTATAGCTTGGATCGGCAGGAAATAAAAATGATATTAAATAGACATACAACCGCAATAAAAGTTTACATATACCACACCAAAATTACAAAATTACAAAAGTTCTTTAGATGATGTTGATAACAAAAAAGGCTCTAGGAGAGTCAATGAACAACAAATGGGCAACAACTAGAACTACTGACATGCATACTATATAACACATTCAACATAATTTTCATGTTATATGTATTAAACAAAAACTGTGTTTGAACCCATTTCCAAACACTGAGAAGAAAGTTGAAATACAACAATGTGTGGCAGATCACATTTTTTACATACTTCAAGGTGTTTGGAAATTTGGTCAAACACTGTCTTGAGTGTTTGATAAATCTTCTCAATTGAAACCAAAATTAAGGAGAAAATGGAAAAATAGGATTGTAAAATTCTATGCCACTTAAGATCAGATATCCAAAGACCATCACAGTCATGATAAGTGTAATAATTAAGTACAGATATGTACATGCTACGCAGTGCACATACCTTCATCATTTCTTTGGACAGTTCTTGCATTGTGGCCTGTATTTCTGGTACCTTTACCAACTGTTGCATGTATTTCATCACCTCACTACTCTTTTCTAGTGCACCAGCCATACGCAATGTTGCTGTATTGTACAAAATGAGTCAAACAGAATTTTCCTTAAATAAGCTTTTTTTTACAGTCATAGTGCAACTTACATGATTGCTATTACAAGTATGACCTGATAATTTCATATTAAATATTAAATTAAGATAAATAATAAGCATGTCAGTGGTTAGCCTGACATATGTACGTTTCACCCCCCACCACATAGGGCTAGCCATATAATTATCCATTGTAAATTCTTACACTTTTTTCAAGATGTTGAATGGCATATTACACAATTGGGAAGCCTTATGTGATGTAAGGCCAGATTGCCATTTGAAGTCCCTTCAGGAACTTTTAATGGCATTGTTATGATCAGTTGATAACCATAACATAACTATGGTAAGTGTGTCATTAGAAGTAAACTGTAATAACAATAAAGACTGAAGGACACCTGTGTTTTGAATTAATGTACAGAGATGACTGATTTGAAATTGACTCACCCAACTGATTTTTCATGCTCATCTCCACAGAGTTTAGTTGTGCCTTGGAGGCATAAATTTTGTTCACAGCTTTTCTTGATCTTATTATTTCTTTAGCCAGAATTACAGATACATCTTTGTGGCCCTTTTTTGCAGCATCTTTAAGAGATCTTGCTGCTTTCTCTTCTTCTCTTTGAATGGCTGTAATAAATGTGAAAGTAACATAAAATTACATATAATTATTATTATAATTATTAATTATTATCTTTTATTCTTCAGGTGACAGGATTTCAAAAATCTAGGACTACATTTAAATGATATTTGCTCATTAAATTTTGTTTCAATAAAAATCTAAAAAGACTTCAAAAGTTATTAACTAACCTCTTATTTGTCTGTCAAGAGCTCTGTTTTCTTTCCTTAGACCTCTACACCATTCCTGAACCTAGCATAATGCAAAACAGCAAATTCAGATTCTTTGAGTAATGAGTAGACCCCTCCTAGCATATGGGTCCATTGTTAAGGTCATTCCTCACATTTGCATTGCGCATCCTTACTGTGCATAATTTATGGCGTCATTAGCGCGC